ACTGGGAAGATGGGTGCTCGCTTGCCTCCCTCTCTGAGAGCAGATTGCTCCGAGTATTTTTACCAATACCTAGTTTGTGACTTGCAGTTGGAGTATTTGAGTACCTAAGAGCTTGTTTTAAAAAGRTCAAGTCTAATTTCTTTTCCAGAGTAAGCACTGAGATTTTTTTTTCTCCTAGGAAATGTACGTGGAGTTTTTGGTTTGGAGGTTTTTTTTTTTTTTTTCTTTTTAAGCAAGGTTTTGGTTACATGATTGTGTAACTTAATTTTTTGCTAAAATGCAGGAAGGTGTTCGTGGGAGAAATAGCTTGTTAACCTTTTCCCTTTGTTTCATTTCTGTGTGAACTTTATAGGAAGAGTAGCTACCTGTGTTTGTGGCATTTGCTCAATATCGAATCCATGCACTGAGGAAGGAAGAGTCKTTCCTTAAATCATCATTGGTTTCTTCCTTCATGCTTTAATCTCTGAATCCTGCCTCTGCTTAGCTGAGATCTCCTTGTGTTTATAGCTCAAAGTGCAGCGATTAAGGAGGMACAGCAACTGTGCAAGAACCAGGAAATTACCTTTGCCGGCTGTACAGTCATTTTCCATGAAGGCCATAATGTATTCCACTTGGAAGCAGGCTGCCTGCTGTGGTGGTGGTGGAGCCTTAATGTGAGGACTCGTGATGGGCTTTCACGTTACTTGAACAATGCAGACCCAGGAAGGTCTGGAAATCAGAGACATTTGTAGGTGACAGGCTTCTCTTGGGCACACGGGCAAGTAAGAACAGCAACCACTGGCAATACTGGTAAAACTGACGTGTGTTTCTGGACTGGAAGTATGTCTGCAAAACTGCACAGCACCCCAGCAGGAAAAAATAGGTTGCTGATATGTTTTGAAGAGAGGGTAGAGAGGAATTTCTAAAAATGAGTTTAACCTTAGAAAATGCTGAGAACTTCCATGAGAACTGCTGTAGAGGGCTAGTTACTCTTCGCCACCACYGACCTAGAGCAGCGTTGTAGCACCTGTAATACCAGTTTAGGAAGCATCTTTCTCTCCTCAATTGCACTGGAACTACAGAATATTCAGAGAGCAGGTCTTAATCAAGCCTATTTAAAGTCCTTTGCCCTTGCGCAAATCTTAAATGCCACTGTCGAGACATAAGTATGTTTAGCTTTACRCAAAATAACTTGAGAGCAGACCTTTCTTAAATGCCTTTAGCAGTACCACTGTGCAACTGCAAAGCAGAGAACCGGCAGGTGAACTGCCAAGCAAAGTGCAAGAGGGGCCACAGTAGAGATGCCTGCACTGCGCTGTGTGTGGTAGCTCACAGGAGCTGCATGTGCTCCAGCTGGAATCACACATGGGAGCGAATGGTTTGAGATGTAGATGTATCCCCTGGCTGGCAATCTGCAGCCCTAYACAGCTCTGCATTTGTTCAAAGTCTATCTTTGCAGCTTCTACAGGACAAAGGGGGAAAAAAGAGAATGTAAATATGGATCATACATTTTGTTGCTGGTAACTGATTTTTTTTTATTAATACTAAGACAAAAAAAGGTTGGAGCCGTATGTATATAGCAAAGCAAGCAATTCTTTCCATAGCTGCAGTATCTCATCACTTACATATTAGTGCCAGCATGCCAAGTCGTTAATTAAGCAGGGTTCTCCTATGTGTAGATGAYGCTGGCAGGTTAATTATGGTTACCGGGCTACTGAATCAATAAATGCATGAGGGAAACAGATTGCACACCTAGAAGAAGTCGCACAAGACCGGAAAAAAGAACAGTGGGAATATAAGGCAATTTCAGGGGAGGTGTCATAAATTAGAATATGGTCAAAGACACAGGGAAATCACAAGATCTGTTTGAAAAAAAATGCCCAATGCAAGGAATAATAGAAATTATGCCTATCTTCTGAAGGTGTTAATGCTTTGGATAAATTTATATTCCCTTTTCCTTCCTGGCTTTTGTGCTTTTTACGCCATTGCCTCACTCTGTCCGCAGGAGTTGCACATGCTCTGTACAGTCCTTTCCCTGGCCTGCCCTGTGCGCGGTTACTAAACCCGAGGCAAAACATGTGCCTCTTTCTGCAGAAAGCTTCTGGACCAGTTACCTTAGAGTAAAATCGTGTTTCAAGGTTACAGGAATCTATTTGTGTTTACTCGAGGAGATTGGTTCATCAGTTTTATTGCAATAGGTTAGGTTTTTTTGTAAAAACATATTCACTAATGCCCTTAAAGTTGGCCTTCACATGTCTGAAAATAAAGGTAAGTACTTCACTGGTTCCTGTTAAAAGGGACACTGTTTAAAATGAAACTTCTAACTCGGGAGGATCTCAGTTTGTTCTTTCATGTTACTTACTGGAAAGACTCTCTTCTAGAGTTACCATGGGCACCGTGTTCTTGACATGACTCTTCCTCAGCATAGCTGAAGCTGAAGGGTATGTACTCGTAGGGTAGTTTCCTATGAGGATGGACACTGGCAGCTCCAACTTGGACAGCAGTTGCTGACGCTGGTTTTGCTGCTCACAGGCAGCTCCTCTGGCAGGTCTGAGGGGAACAAGTAACGGGACAGTAACGTCTGACGTCGGTAGGTGTGTGTGTGGCATCGGCCGTGTTTTGGCCGCCCGCTGAAGTTGTTCATCCCTCCCGAAGCCCTTTGCACCACTGCAGTGTGAAGGGTGACGCTGCTTGAGCTGCCGAGGTCTCGGGAAGAGGTCTCACTGCGGCTGTGGTGCCAAGCGGGACAAGGGCCGATCCTGCTCGAGGGTCCTTGGCTTTCTGCTGCAATAAATAATGAGGTTTTGTGCGAGCTCTGGTGAAGTGCCTAGAGCCTGGCCGATACAGTTACCCTGCTGTGCCAGGGCCAAATTGTTGTTCGTAAAGTAATTTGGTCTTTAATATAGAAGGTGCTGTATGAAATCAGTCCCTATTAKCTTTTCAAAGAGACTTTTCTGTCTGAATTGTAAGCTTAGCATTGCTGACCATCTACATAAACACTTCCAGATAATAATGTTACATGTTCTTTCAGCTAATATGTATCATTACTTTTGATCAAGCATGGCTTGGTTCGTAACTGTAGAAATAATATGATTTAGTGGCCTCCAGCCAATCAGTTAATTACGTGCTGGTTACTTAAAGCACCTGGGACTTTGGTTCATCTGAGTGTAAGTTATTAACTTGCAGGTAAAGGATCAGTACCTCATAAACAGTTTTTCTAAATAATTTTACAGCACAGCTGAAGTGGTAAGAATAAATGTGGGGGACAACTTTAAATTCTTGTTGTGTAATGCAGCTATTTTGATTTGAGATAGCAAATAGCTGTCCCATATGAATGGCATAGCGTCAGATTTGCTACATGGGCACCTTCAGGAAAGCCATTTTAGCTATTCATAAAAATTGCACAAGTTTACAGGTACTAGACTGAATGAAAACTGTTTTTTTTCGCAGAACATCCTTGTTTTGACTTTGTTATATTTAGCAATATACTTTTAAAATTACCTGATCAGCTAGAGTGTAGAGTGTAGGGCCAGGCAGAAATTGTGGGTGGTCTAGTGAGGTTATTTACAATATTTAAGGTTTTGTCTTTCTTAAAGCCTTTCAAGTGAATTAAAGAGCCACTTATTTCTTTAAAACTTGAAAGAAGAGATGTGGAAAACACTTAGTTTTTACTTTGTGGAAAAAAAMCACTAAGGTTTTGTTAGGCCAGCTTTCTTACGATTTTTGCTTATTAAAAACATGTGTCAGGTGATGAACTGCTTCTGTAGCTGAAGCAAGGAGAAGAGCATCAATAACTGGGCAGGCGTTAGTCCTTACTCAAACGCTTTGGGTCCGTTGAAGAAGCTGACGATTGGGGTAGCTAATTTAAGGACAGGCCTAACTCGCTGTCCTTGCAAAGGGCTATTACCAAATTCTGTATAAGCTGCATTTTCCCAAAGGATTTAGCAAATATCCCCAGGAAGTGCATTAATCTAATCTCATATGTAACCTGAAGTGAGAGAAGCTAAAAATTTCCAGTCAATCACAGGGATAATATTGGATGTTTGCATCCATTGGAATGGATGAGGAACCTGGCAGCGCCYCGAAGCAGTGAGGTTGTCTTGTAAGAGAGTGGCCAGCTACCCTAACTAAGACAAGATCTCCACTTTCCAGATCTGTCAAGGTCAGGTCTTCTCAACCTCAAAATGTTAGTTTGGCTGCTGAGATGTCAGTAGCCACGTCAGAAGGCATGTCTAAAAATGTGAGAGTAAGTGCAGAAAGATCAAGTGTGTTGGATTTGTGGAGGCTAAGCTAGGAAGGAGGCCAGACTTCCTAGCCTGCTATCACTGTGGAGGGAGGGTCTTGGCTGAGGAGTGAGCAGTGAAGAAAAGCAGATGTAGCCGAATGTTGGATTTGGAGCAGCAGGAAGTATCTGATCTGATTATTCATACCTGTATTCTCCCCCACGCTTTGGCAGGCTTAATATCAGATGATTCAAGCAGAGTAGGAGCAGTAGTAGAGTCATCAGAAACCTTAAGGGGGAAAAAAAGGAAAAGAAAAAACAGAGACTGTCAAATCTAGCATTTCCTTTCAGTATTTGTCAAGTCATTACAAAACCTCTGTTACGAACTTGTTGCCTGTGCAAGAGAATTATTAGGTCTAAGGTGCAAGTTCCATCTTATTTAGACAAGTGCATGCAGGCTGATACATGCCTCTTGCAGGATGATGCATGCCTCTTTCTTCTGGTTTTGAGTATCCTGTGTTCCTATTTGGTTTAAGCTGACTTGAGAACTCAATAAATAGAAACAAGCTGTTTGGAAAGCAAAGTGCACTAGTCTCTTAAAACCAATTCAAATGTGTATTTGCAAAAAGAAGAGACAAACACCAGCATGGAAATATGGAAAGGTAAAAGCCATGAGAGTCTCATGTTTACTATGCTGTGGACACTAGTTTTACAGTGTACACACAGAGATGTCAGGGATGACATAAAAGTATAACTGATTCTTGTGCCAGTACATTGATTCTGCTGTTTCAACTTGCAGCTACTCTGAGAGCTTGTGCTGATGGAGGTGCCAATCGTCTCTACCACATCACAGAAGGAAGCCGTGACAGGTAGGTTAATAACCMGCTGGGACATCCCTTCCTAAGGGGAGTAAAACATGGAGGAAAAGGATCCATTTGATTACGGAAGGAGCTGCCTGCTCTGTACATGGTGCTTTAACAAGCTATTGTCACGTAGTAGAAATGAACAAAATTTAAACACCTTGGAGTGAAGTACTTACGTTTTAGAAGGCAACATAGGCACAAGAAAAGGCCAATCCYATCTATTTGTACTTACCATTCAGATTTTCATGTTTTCATCTCTCAAACGGTGACTGATTTTTTTTTAATAATTTATTTTTAATCTCTCTCCTGCTGAAGTCTTCAGAAGACAAGAGTTACTGCCATGTCTAAAGGGCTGATTTGGTAAAAACAAGAAGATCATTTAGAACTGGGTCTAAGCAAATGCTCTTTCATTGAAAAATGATGAAACTGTTATTGTTTATTAGGGGAGAAAAACTACAGAGGACTCGCTGCCATCATGTCATTTTGCCTAATAGGTAGCAGGGAAGCAGGTACGTGAGTGATATAGCAGCATGCAATACAGTTCCTACTCCACATTGCTTTTAATTGTTATTCCAAGTTATAACTTTTAAAAACACATAGGTAGCCTGAATTTGAATTTGGTGGATTTTTTTGTCCTGAAACTCACTGATTTGTTTGGTTTTTTTTTTTCTCTTGCTTATAATGCTTTTGTGAATCTGCCTTATTTTATGCTGAGTAGGATCTTTCACACAGCCTCTGAAAAATGTTTGATCTGCTACTCACATGGTTTGACTAAAGGAACATTTGATGCATCTCACCAGGGGCTGAAACAAAGTATGTCCTCTTCCCTCATCTCTTGGGACTTTAGAGACAATCTGCTTCCTTTATGAAGTGAGATGGGTAGTAAAATTGGAGGTCTACTCTCTTTTTTTTTCCTGAATTATTTTTGAGTTAGTGTCAGGGTTTCTTGTATGTCTAAAGGCAAGTACAGAGGTTATGTATAAATATATATTCTAGGTGTGGAAATAGGACTGAAAGAGCAATGTGTTGTTGTTTTCTCTTACGGCATTTGAAACTGAAATATCCCAGGTTTTGCCCCCAAAGGGATTAGGCAGAGTTATGACACAATATATTGGACTCCAATGACTTTTTGTAGTGGAATCATGGAAAGCTGTTTAATTTAGGGGTTAACAAGGGTATATGTGTTGTGCCTCTCTTTAAGATTTTTACTTGCTTTGAGCAAAAATTCCTAAATARATAGTTTAATTAAAGCAAATGAGTGAATAAAGGTGACTTTGATGGCAATTGGTGGAGCCAGATACCTGTAGAAATTACCAACTTAGGAACTTCTTTTGTTTGTACAGCAAAATTCAGCGTATGTTTTGTTCCATCTCATGGCAAACATAGCAGRGAGGTCAGAAGCAGCTCGATGTCTTCCTGTGCTCTGAAGCAAAGAGGGAGAAGGTGGCTCTCATGTTAAAGTGAAGGTTCAGGTAAACTCTCGTCTTTGCCACCTGTAGGAAGKGCAGTGCCTGAGATTTACGGGTCCTAACTAAAACCCTGACTGTAACCTGTCCAGCATTGCTAAGGGTCTGCTACCAAGTGCTGTTGTATCTACTTCTGTTGGTCTCTTTCTGGTAGATGCTTACAGAGCCCTTCACAGAGCCTTTTTGTCTCAGAATCTAACTGAAATCTGTTGGACTTGCAGCACACAGTCCTCTCTGGTGGCTGAGGAGACACAGAGGGAGCAATGAAACAGCAGCAATGTTTTAGACTTCTAATTTTTTCTTCCAATAACACATTTATTTCTCCTGCTGCCCCCCTTTATATTCATATTAAATAAGTGTAATTCAGGGGAAATCTGGTGATTATAGCTTGACTGAATAGTTTTTTTTTCATTCTTGCATACTTGGCCCTTGGAGTATTTCTTTGTCTTCCTGCTTCCCATCTTAATTGCTTTGGGTAGATGTTTTACCTTCAAAGTGATTCTTTCCAGGGTGAGGAGGTGGGGAGACCTGTATAATTCTGATTTTTGTCTTCAAAGAAATCGTTCTGCTGGAAAGAATATTCATTTACTTCTCTGAAGCATTTTTTTCCTTAAACTCCCTGTCCAGCATTATTAAAGAAATGTCTCCTCAGACTCGACTGACATGTTAATCATTTTTTTTAACGCTGTCATAACCTTCTATTTTAAAACTCTATTTTGTTCAGAACCATGATAGCTAATTCTGTTGTATCAAAACCTAAAAGCTATAGTCCTTTCATTACAGGATGATTATTATATCCAAGAGAGATGAATAAAGAGCTTGATTGATATTTTGGGCTCGATTCTTAGTGACAGTGAAGTGTCTTTAAGCTGCTCTGGCAGTGTGAAGAGTCTTTTAGACTGGGAATAAATTTTCATAATAGACTGGGAAAAGGACAGGTTGCGAAGTGGGACTCTTACAGAGGTGTCTTCCTCTAAGGATATCTAAAGTCATTACTATTCTGAAGGATCCATTTCCAAACCCTAGAAGAATACAGGCCTAGAATTGATCTTAGACACCTTCTGTCTTTCCTTCAAGTCGGAGCCAAACCTACCTGTTCCTTTTCTGACACATGCTAACTGAACATAGCCGGTTTCTTAACAGCTTCAACATCAGTGTCCTCTCTCCCATATCCAGATTTCTCCTCTGCAGGATGAATAGACCCAGCTTGTGTCGTTTCCTTGCAGCACTTCTTGACCTCAGTTAGCCCATATCTGCCTTGRGGCTCTGTGCCCGAGACTCCCCCAGCACTGACCACTTCTTTAATTTGCTTCTTGCATCAGGGCAGCCTGGGCTGTTGAATGAAATGTGGCAAGAGCAGATTGAGAAGTCCACCCATTTCTTGCCTCTGGGCGGCCATCTGCTTGCAAGGAAACTGATACCTTAGTTTCTGCACCTTCCATCAGTGTTTTGACTTGGTTCTTGGCTTGAATGGGGCCCTCAAGCCCACCAAGAGAAAGAAGCCCTCACCTTCGCACAGAGAAGCACTGCAGCGGTTGGATCATGAGAGGAAAGCATACGAGATGGTCTGTGTCTTCATGAGATAGGGTTTTACATTGTTGTTTTTAAGATGTGTTTGTTGTTTCCTGAAGTTTATGTAGGAAATTGTGGGAAAAAAAAATCTGAATTGCAATTATTCGTACTAATTTTTTTCCTTAATAACAAAAAACCCTGGTTTTCTTTTTAACTACTGATGAGGAGGAATCATGCTGATATTTTTCAGTGATGTGTTAAAACAAACTGCCTTCTAGAGCTGGAGGCTTGGGGAAAGTAACCAAAAGGGCAGGATGACTTTTCCTTAGAGAAGCCACTCTCTGGGAGCCATCTGTGTTTGGGCAGATGGAAAAACAGGAGGAAAGGGGCTCCTGTTCTCCGGTGCTCTCTGGAAGAGCCTTTTCTCTCCCTGACTACAAAAGCCCAGAGAGATTATTTTCCTTACACTACATTCTGTCTTTGGTAACAGCAGTTGCCACTAAAAAAACAGGAGTCATTGCTAAACTGTTCTTAATAAACTGCTAGTGTTCAGCAACTGGAGTTAAGGGCCAGTTACTGATCTTGTGGGGCTGTTGTCCTTGCCTCTCTTGCCTCCGTTTCCATATCCCGTTGCATATTTCTTGACATAATTGTGAACCACTCTTACCCACTTCASAGTTAGGTTGTTGCTCATCTGTATCACAGCGCAGTAGCTCCTTTCTCAACACTTTCTGATTAAAGTTTAGGGCATTGATTAACTTGTGCGAGATTAGCTTTGGGGTGTACAGAGCTATTGCTGTATTGGCACCTATAGAAACAGCCATTAATACCTGTGTCTGGGCTGCAGAGGGGTGTCAAACCCCTTGTGCACTCAGGTTTTGCAGTATTAAAAAGTTGAGGCCGTAGAGGGCAACGGTGAGCACTGGAAAGCGGAGGATGATTCTGCCATAAAAACAGATTGTGATCTCTGGGATTCTGATCACAATTTCAATATATCAGAGTGTCTGTGTGACATTAAATGAGCTGCGTACAGTTGCTGACACTTAGGCTGCACATATGGTTTCTTCCTGTCCTTTGCAGTGCACTGCCTAGAATACAGGAGTATCCGAAGCTGAGAAATGCTGGTATATTTTGATACCACATTTTCTACATACAGAGCTTAMATGATATGAATGTAGGTGCTACATCCAAATACCTTTGCTGGCTTAAACAAGGCTTGCAGGGAGGCAAGAACCTCCACGTGTGTGTTTTGAATGTTAAGAGAAGGTTTTTAAATGTCCAGTTGGCAAATATGGATCTCAAAACATCATCTTTTTAGTTGCAACTTTCGTTCAGAAAGTCACATTTACTGCATAAAGTATGTCCTTCAGTAACCTTCCTTCCCCTTTCTTCCCCTACGGCCACAAGGTTTTCGATGAGCCACTTAGTGAGAGCAAGTGAAGGATATTGGCTGTACTGAGACTTGTTATTGCTTTCACTTGGACTTGATGAAGTCTTCTACATGCTTTGCTTTGTGTTGAAAAGCTAACGTGGGAAACAGAAGACTTCACTTTTGTGCTTTTACAGCTGAAACTCACTGGTTTTATATTTGTTTCTAGTAGGTCTGTTTTTTTTTTTCTTGATGCTGCCTTTTCTTCATGCCATGGCTTCATATAGATGTTGTGTGGTGCTTAAAAAAATTAATGGTTGACATTATGTTGAAATAAATTGCATAAACTGTGTCTGAAAAAGTGAAGGTAAAAGCAGGCACCACAGAATGATAAATTCTCCCTGGCTTTATTTTACTGTAAGAGTTTGAAAGGCAAACAATAGGCTTACCCTTGAATAGGTGAACAAAGCTATTTTAATAAGTGCAAGGAAAAGTTTTGCGTGTTTGCTTGCATGAAAGGTGGGACAATAACTCGTGGTGGAACRTGTCTATAAGTCTTGATTCCTTATGTCTATACTTTGGCAATTAGTGTGGCTTAGTAGTGCCAGGTCACCTGACAATATAGCCAGGTCATATGGCTGTATTGTCTCTCTTTTGT